TCATCTGTAACAATAATAATGCATTTATATATTTTTAAGGCTTCTTGATAAAAAGTGGCATGTCACTTTACCAAGTTCAGGAGTTTCCTTTTTTTAAAAAAAAAAAAGTACTTCTACAACAGAAGATAAAATACTAACATACTATGTATTGGTGGATCTTAGACACAAGGCACCAGAGCTGCAAACGCAGACATCATCAGTGCAAAGACCTGAACTTTTAGTCTCTAGGTTTTTCTTAGAATTTCAAAAAAGCAGAGAAATATGAAAGTTCAAAACTTTTCAGCTGTTGAAGGAAGGGTAGGGAAAAGCTTTTACACTTCATTGGGACATCCAACTCGAGCACGAAGTAGCCGCCTTAGGAGAAGCATAACTTAAGAGAGCAAAAAATTTATTTGAAAGTTGCAGTGCCTGTAGTGAACATTAGCTCCAAAGGGATAAACTGTGATTCAGACCAAATCCTGTGGTGTTCACCGAGTCCACTGAAATCATGTGAAGTTCAGATCAGCTAGAACCAGCATGTTTTGGATCACAACAGCTCACAGCCCGTAGAAAGCCCGCTGACTGCAGTGAAGTGCCGACTAACAGCAACGCTGACCACAGCCAGGCAGCAGTACAGAAAAGACAGTCTGGGTCCTCATCACCCTTTCCCCACTTTCATCCTCATTGGTTTTATACTTTAAAAAATACGCAGCTAGGAAAGACCATGTAGTAGCCAAAGGATGCAGTGCGCACAGACAAGCTGCAGGCAGGCTGACGGGGTGTCCTCAGCGCATCTGCAGCCTCCCACAAGATTTGCATTTGACATCCAACTCCCCATTGTTACGACATCTTTATCTCAGTTTTCAGGAAACGTCAGATGACTCATCTATCGGAACATCTGATGAAGCTAACGTGATTTCAAAAATGAACTCTACTTAGGCATATTTTTCCAAGCAAAAAAAATGAAGAAAAATGTTTTAAAATTATGCTAAAAATCTAATTTCTGTTGCAAACTGGTTTCCCGATTTAGGAACTCCAGAGCTTATTTTTGCTGTAGACAGTTTAAGAGGCTTTTAGGCATCCAAATTTAGGAAAAAAATCCTACAGCATTTAAACAACGCAGAGCCAGAGCTGGAGCTGACTCAGCCACTCAAGCGCACAATTTGAATATACTACATAATCATTCCTGGTTTAAAATTATCTTCCTAATATCTAAGGGCTAGATTATCCCACACGCATTTATCTTGATTAATGCACTACCCTAAGGACAGCCTTGCAGATTTCATTAGGACTAATTATGAAGCAGGGTATTCAACAGCAGGATGATAAAATCCTGCTCTGATTGACACAGTCCTGACCTCTTCCTTGCACTACCTCACCGAGGTCACAGAAGTGTATGCGTCTTCCTTTTTCTTCCCCATGCTCCTAATTAACATGTAACAACTGCTGTTTGTCACCAATCCAGAATTAAGAAAGAACCCGCAAGGTGCGCACACAGGACACGTTTCCCAACAAATGACACGTGTCCAGAGATCAACGCTGCAGTGCCACGGTTCCACAAACGGCCCCTGCAAATGCCGACGACGGTATCCGCGGGTGGCAACACAACCTGGAGGAGAGATTCTGGGGAGCAGAAGCCCCTCTCTTTTTTTGCTCCAGACCTACATACACAGTTTTTGCTTTCATTTTACAGGGAAGGGAGAGAGAGAGAGAGAAAGAAGGAAAAAAAAAAAAAAGTATTCTACCCAAGCTGACAAGCTGAAAGTTCCACTTCTGAAATCTATTTTTACCTCCTACGAGCAGACCAGATGAGCCGTATTTGCTTGTGGCTGGCTGTGTGCTCCGTGCACTCCGTCCCTGCTCAACACCCGCAGAGGACACCTGGGACAGAGGCCAAAGTCTGGCCGGGCAGAGCTGAAGGGTACTGCCATTTCACGGGGTCCCCTCAGAAAGTATTTGCTTTGCCTGTTTACGTTCTAAATATAACAGAGCACACCGGCCATCTCCAGCTCATGAGCAAGTATTCCTATCAGGGGCTGCAGCTCTCTGCAGCACTAATGCACACCTGCCTGATGTCAGCTAATATACAGCATTTCTTCTACGACACACTAATTCTTGGGAGCACTGTGAGTGAAAGATGCATTCATAGTTTGTAAAGAAAAATCAGTGACTAAACATCTGTCTTACGTCCAAGAGACAATGCAAGAATAGCTGTTTAGTTAATACTGTTACATACATTTATAAGAAATCAACTATTTTAATAATAAGGTCAATTTTTAGGTGTACTGTTATTTTAGCGAAGAGCAAGGACATTACATCCACACTGAGTTACTGAAATATTAAAAATTACTTTTGAATGTCCTAACCAAAAATCTTTTTTTTTCCTCCTTTCTTTGGTAAACTATTAACTGACCTTAGAGGGTCTAGACAAATCTAGTATTACATGTCCCTAAATTGTTTTTGCAGAACACCTAAAGTTTGTCATATTGCAGAAACCGTAACAAAGTAACTTGTTTAGCTTAGGCCACACAAAAATTGACAAAGATCTGAAACAAAACCAAAACTGAGCAACTGCTTTTCTGCTCTGTGGATTGGACAGGGAATTCACTGGAGGGATATATCCCATTTTCTCTTTACCAAAGGTATTTTCATATATTACACAAGCTATTTAACTAAAAAAAAAAAAAAAAAAAAAACCCAAACACAAAACCCCAAAATAGCTCAGGAGCCCGCTGACAAACGGCCGCGTAAGGCCCACGTTGCAGCACCGCGCTCCCGCAGTGAGCAGCATTCCTGGCTCCGGCGGCGGCAGCAACGCGACCCGGCCCCGCTCCCCTGGCTGCAGCGAGGGGGTCCGCCAGATCCCCCGGAGCCTCTCCAGCACACAGCACCTCAGCCACAAGTAAACCTTTTAGCGTCAACACAAGTAAACACATCTGGTAAGCTGTGTATTTTTAAACAGCAGATTCCTTCCCAGCTTACAACTCGGCTACTGCGCTGACTTTACATGGGCAGCAGAAGACTCTGTTCCACGCTGTTGTATTTTGAAGCAATGTAATAATGCTGCAACGTTCCCTACAGTTATTACCCACGGACCTTGCAGCTCTTTAGGAAGGTGATAATTATCTCCTTCATTACAAAAGGAAACGGAAGGGCCCTGCTGATGGCAACAGAAGAGCCAGCCATGCCACCAGGGACGGGGACGGCTGGCCAGCCCCCGCTTCGCCTCTCATCCAGACACAAGCCCACGC